ATGCTAGTGGCAGCTACACTTTCTCCCGTCACAAAAGAACGTTTTCCAATCCGCTAAGTACAATGCATACACATTAAGAGCTGTTCATGAATACAAAGCTAGTTGTGAAAATGGATGGCAATGGCATACTAAAAAAGTACTGCCGACTCCAGAACGGGATATCAGCTTCGTATCGTCAGCCCAATTCAAATACCGAAGTAGAGCAGACTAGGGTACCTGATAGCATCCAGTTTAAATAAGGAATCATCTCACTGTAAAACAAACCAGCTACTCAACAATATCACACAGCGGTATTGGATCGTTTAGTAAGCGAATCCTTAAATACTGTGTGGTATATGTATAAACATATATACTGCTCTATACAAGTACCCAGACATGGGTTACCTACGGGGTGTACTACAGAATCACCTCCTTTTTCTCACACCAGGGTCTTCTTATGGGGGGGAGGCAGGGATAGCCGAGTGGTTAAGAGGTTAGACTCATGTCTGCACCTCCGAAAACCGCGAGTTCGATCCCTGCCGAGGCTCTAAACCATGCCTTGCAAAAATTGCAAAAATGGTTCTAGTACCAGCGTCAGGCCCAGGTTGACAGGCCGGCTGATGAATACCCAGTCACACCAACATGTCTAAAAGTTGTCAAAGAATCAGTGATAAAGCTAGGACGTCACCCGGAAGTGGCGCGCAGAACCCCCGCCCGAGTTCTGTGGTCAGTATGCGAGGGCTACCGAGGAGTGAACGGCCTCGGCCAAAGAAGCTAGTTCGAATAGGGACTCTGAACGTAGGATCGCTAACTGGGAAGTCCCGAGAGGTTGCTGATCTGATGACGCGCAAGAATATCCAAGTCCTATGCCTTCAGGAGACGCGATGGAAAGGTGCTAAGGCCAGGGAAATCGGGGAAGGTGTCAAGCTCTACTACAATGGAGAAGACACCAAGCGGAACGGCGTGGCCATAGCGGTAGCGGAGTCGCTCAAGGACTATGTCTCCGCTGTGAACAGGATCAGCGATCGGATCATGGCTGTGAGGATGGACACGAAGGAGGGGTACTGGTCAATACTCTCCGTGTACGCACCGCAAGCCGGGTGCCCCGAAAGTGATAAGGACGAGTTCTATCTGAGCCTGGACGAAGCCATAAGATCGGTTCCGGAAGGCGATTACCTGACCATAGCAGGTGATCTGAATGGCCACGTCGGCAGTGATAGAAGAGGCCTAGAGAGGGTGCACGGAGGTAGAGGGATAGGATCGAGGAACGCTGAGGGAGAGAGGGTTCTGGACCTGGCTACGGCCCACGACTTGGCAGTCTGCAGCACGTTCTTCGCGAAAAGGAAGTCTCAAAAGGTAACCTACAGCAGTGGAGGGAGACAGACGGAAATCGACCATGTGCTGGTAAGAAGATCAACCCTCAAAACTGTGAAGGATATCAAAGTTCTACCGGCGAAGATCTGGCTCCCCAGCACAGGCCCCTCCTGGCAGACATTGCGATAGACCTCCCCAAGAAGACAAGGGTAAGAACCGAGAGGAGAATCCGGTGGTGGAAGCTGCACCAAGCGGAGAAGGATGACCTCAGGCGAAAGATAATGGAAGTCGGTCTCCCAGATCCTAACGGGCCAATACAGCGGACTTGGGGCAGCGCGGCTGATACCATCCTGCGATGTGCCAAGGAGGTCCTGGGCGAGACGCGAGGTGGATTCAGAGGAGACAAGGCAGCGTGGTTCTGGAACGAGGAGGTCCAGCGAGTCGTGAAGCAGAAGAAGGAAGCATACAAGCGCTGGCAGAAGACCCGAAGCCCCGAGACCTCGCTGCCTACAAAAGTTGCAAGAGGCTCGCTAAGGCTGCCGTCGCCAAGGCAAAGAACACGGAAATGGACGCCTTGTACGAGAAGTTGGAAAGCAGAAACGCAGAGAAGTTCGTCTTCAGGCTGGCTAAGGCCCGGCATCGTGCTACCCAAGACATCAGGGTGGTGAAAAGTGTGAAAGGCAGAGATGGTGTCATCCTAAGGAAGCCAGCCGAAGTCAAGAGGAGGTGGGAAGAGTACTTACAGTGCACTTCTGAACGAGGAGTTCCCCCACAAGAACAACTCACGGGCAGAGGCCACAGCTGGTCCCATCGCACTCTGGACTGAGGATGAGGTTAGGTGTGCACTTGGGAGGATGAAGGTTGGGAAAGGCGGTTGGCCCAGATGGGGTGCCAATCGAGGCATGGAAGGCGCTCGGAGAGTACGGGATAAGATGGCTCACACGATTCCTCAACAACGGTAACTGCGGAAGGAAGGATGCCGGATGCCTGGAGAACAAGTACTATCGTCCCCATCTTCAAGCAGAAGGGTGACGCGATGGACTGCTCCAACTACGCGGGATCAAGTTGACTGCTCATACAATGAAGCTGTACGAGCGACTGGTCGACTCGAAACTGCGGGAGCTGGTCCCGATCTCCCAGGAACAGTTCGGGTTCATGCCCGAAAGGTCTACAACGGATGCCATCTTCATCGCAAGGCAAGTGATGGAGAAGTATCGAGAAAAGCGCCGACCCTGCTACCTAGCCTTCCTCGACCTGGAAAAGGCGTTCGACCGGCTACCGCGAGCAGTACTATGGAGAGCGCTCAGGGAACGGAACGTGCCAGAACACCTGATCTCGCTGGTGAAGGACATGTACGAAGGAGCCAAAGCAGCCATACGCACCCCACGGCCTAACGAAGGAGGTGGACATCACGGTTGGGGTGCACCAAGGGTCAGCTCTGAGCCCGTTCCTCTTCCTCCTAACACTAGATGTCCATGGTGAAGGGCTCATGGAAGGACCACTAAAGACCATCCTCTACGCTGACGACATCGCCCTGATAGCGGATAGCAGAGAAGAACTACAGGCCAAGGTGCAGAATGGCAGAAGTCCTGGCAGAAGGGGGGCTCCGGCTGAATGTCAAGAAGACCAAGTTCCTGAGCTCTGAAGAGGGTGCAGAGCCGATCGTGGATGGACATGGCGAAAGCATCGAAAGAGTGGAGGACTTCCGATACCT